TGTTGTTTTGCTTGTGCTGATAAGAGAATATCATTATACGGAAAATCAGATCGAACAGTTTCTAGTCATTGCTGGCTTGGAGCTTTAGATCTTTCTCTGCTTCTCTGTGTAACTTTAATTAAGCATTAGGTCAATCTTGGAGAGGGCAAAGCCTTTCAGAAAGTAATATGAAGGGAATGGCATAATAGTATTTCTTGTATTTCAGCAGAGGTTTCATTTGTTGTCAGGGCAAGAGATGCATAAAACTAATCGTGAGACTGCCAGGAAGAACATCTCTTCTTGTTATGATAATGGAACTTTGTTTACCTGACCTTCCAATTAGTCAAATGTGCATTCTTGTTTGTATCCTGACTGCCTTCTCTCTCTGGGTTCAGCTGGTTCAGGTACAGATGCACTTAAAAAAAAAACAGAAGAGCAACCCCCTCAAAGTTGATTTCCTTCATCTCCCACCCCAGCTTGTAGAAACAAATAAGATTTCAGCGTGATATTAATGAATAGTAACAGAGTCAGAATAATTGGTACCCTTCTGGTTGTGATTAGAATTCAGGGGAGTTACTTAACAACCACTGTTTCTTAAATATGAATTCTGATTAATAACAGAGGTCTTTTTCTCTCATCTACTGTGCCTGTAACTAACACACTTTGCAGCTGCAGTACTTCAAAATTATGTATTTCTTTTTATGCACTATTATGTCTTGAATTGTAATAATCTCAGTAGGAAGCTTTGAGCAGCATATGTCTATGTGACCCATGATTTTTATTTTTTATAAAATTTTTCATTTATTTATTTACTTTTGCCTTTAAGATTGAGGATCACGCTGGTACTGTTTAAATCTTGCCTCTTGTAAGAGATACTGAAATAAAGGTTCTTGGTTACCTCTGGCAATAAACATTCTTTGAGAGTGGCTGTTATGTAAACACATGGATTCTGTAAGTGATTTCATTGTACTCACTGAGTAATTAGACATGAACTGTTAATGTCACAAAAGTATCTTAGGAAATAAACTTTATTGTGGGAGGGGGTTCGTGTTTGTTTGTTTTAGTTTTATGGAGGCCTTACAGCTCAGGAGGAGCTTTGGAGCTTTGGCAGCAGCCCTGGCCATGTGTGCTGCATTAATCCCAAGCTGGCTGCCACATCCACTGCTCCCCTTGCTGTCACAGTTTGGTGCACGTCAGTCTTCATTAACTGGCTATTTTAGGAATCTCCAGCCATTCCCAGGCTGCAGCTCATTAAGAGTATTCGAGTGCAAGGAGTGCAGGAGGTCAGATGCTGTTTTATGAAGTGCAGTTACGTGTCCAGCAACCCTCCAGCTGCTGCTCCAATGTGCTGTGCTGCTCTGGAAACTGTGTGAAGCGAGGGGAATGAAAGATGCTGTCAGTGCTTTTCATCTGCCCCTTTATTCCTGGGACATCACAGGGTGCTGGACAGAGCAAGGAGCCACGACACATTTGGTGCTCATCAGACTCATCACTGGTCTGCAGGGCCAGAGCTCTTCCTGTGCCTTGGCTTTTGAGAATTATGTTTGAAAGTGTTTGAGAGAAAGTGCAGCATGGAAAATGGATGTTTCAGGAGTTTGCACCAGTATAGGAAAATTTGCTGTAAAAGGAGCAAAGTGGTGGATTTTCCATGCCTTTTGAACTTGCTAACAGGTTTTCATATAAATTTAAAAATTTCCTCACTGATGTCAGCAGCAGATATTTCAGAACTTACTAGGTCAGTTACAAGCAAGAAGCACTTAATAATAAAGTATTAATATTTATGGGGATTGCATATTTATTCAGGGATCTCAAATTGTATTACAGATTAAATGAATTACTGCATACACCACAGGTTGAGGTACAGAGAAGTTAAATCAAATACAGATCATCCAGGCTTGGAGCTGGTGAGGTTCTTCAGGGAGTGCAATAATTTTTTATCCACAGGGCTGAGCATTTGCAAGTGCTTTGTAGAATGAGGTTTAGTGAGTCCTTGGCAAGGCTGGGAATTGAGTGTTGCAGTCCTGTCTCCCAGCCCGTGCTCTAACCAGTAGACCATACTCCTGTACCTTACTTCATCAAACAGCAAATTCCACTCCAGATTCAACCATGTTCTGTTAGGTAGTTTTCATTTCTAAAAAGGACTGGAAATGAAAGGCTCACTCACCCAAATCATGTAGAGATGACTCAGATAGCAAACTTTTTAAATCCTCAGGCCTCTTTTTTTTTAAAAAAAGGAAAGAAATCTGAACAAACTCCAAAGGAGTATCAAGAGACTTGGGCTGAAAGGAAAGTGTGTGAGCCATTCAGACTACCATTAAAAGCTGGTGTTATGCCAACTTGTGGTCCAGCACTGTTCTTCAGTGTAATTTATTTTACTCCTAAAACAAACCAGCCCCACTAATGGCAAACAAAAAAGCTTCTTTCTTCCAGGATTTGATTGTTGAATGAAAGGACTTCGGAAAAAGCAAACCTAACCCACTTAAATTTCATGGCATGCACCTTCACCCAGGATTTTTTTTGTGTGTCTCTGTTAACTTCTCCACTCTGTGCTTGTGTTGCTGTGACTGTGTCATTCAGATCAGAGTAATAGCCCAGAACCTAATCCCAGTGTATTATCTGTGCCTCACCTGGGCATTCTGGCCATGGCTTGTCAAGTACATGAATTGGCTCACCCTCAATGGTGTGAATAAAAGGGTATTTATGGTGATTGTAAATCCCATTGAACTAAGGGGGTTGCTAAGTCAAAGCCCATATTTGGAAGGATTTCTCTGCATTGGGGCACGAAGGAATCAGTCCTCTCAGCTTTGCCTATGTTGAGAACTAAAATCTGACTTAAATGAATAAATGTAATTCAATTAGGATTCGTGTTTAACAGTTTATTTTAAAGCAGAATGTGACCAAGATGTTCAAGCTCTTGAAAACACGGATTTGTAAAAAAAGTGTGAAAACTCAGAAACTTTGCAAGACTCTCAGTGTGTAGAAATTGGGTATGAAAATTAGTAATTTGGAGTCTATAAACATCCTCTGGCTGTGCTGCCCAGCAATATCCTGAAAGATGATTGAACTGAAGTTTTCTAGAACACTGTTCTTTTGATCCATGATTTTGAAAAATCATCAAAATTGGCATGGGTGTTTCAACTTCCCTCTTTTAGCAAAGATCTGAAAACCAAGTAAATACACTCATTAAAAAGGGCTTGTGCAGGAGTATGTCTGCAGTTACTTTAGGGGGAGAAAAAGAGGCCTGTTCAGAGGAATTTTAAGCAAGGTACAGGTTAAAGTAATTTCAAATTCTGCGTAAGTGTGCTGCTTTCTATGCATGCTGTTGGCATTGTTTGGTCTTTTGTACCCATGTAATTTACTCCCACACAGAAGCCATTTACGCTGCTCTTTGCCCTTTGGGAATGATTTAAAATTATCTTAATGTAAATGAGAGCCCTACCCTGAGGTCCAGGCTGCACCCTGCATCTCACTGCCTGAGGTTACTGCAGCTACTGCAATCAATGTGATTGCAGAGTGTGGATCAGGGCTGCAGCTCTGACCCAAAACTGCACCTCTGAGAGCTTTCCAAAAAGAAACTCTCAGAACAGTCTCTCATTACTTCTGCAAATAATTTTTTAAGCGAGTGAAAGGCAGATCCTCTGTAGCCTCCAAGGAATCTTTCCAGGGTCCAATCAGACAGGGAATATAAATCAGGCATTTACAAGAAAGGACACAGTTCAGGTGAGAGACCCTGAAAGCTGCTCTGCATTGTCTGAGTGCCATTAGGGGGAAGATTTGTTTCTCTTAAATGAGAGGAGTTTTTCACACTTAAGAAGTTTTTTGGTTTTGTTTAACTTGTCTGTAGCTTTCAGATGTCAAGAAGATTTGATGATCTTTCTTTTTTGAGTCTTCAAATCTCCTGACAGGTAAAACCTTCTGTGGCTGACCAGTCACATCAAAAATAATTTAGCCCCTGTGCATGGTGCTTTTCCCCTGATGTTTGTACAGCTTGATTTAAGAAAGGCAGGAGGGGAGAAGGATTTCTAGAACAAGAAGTAATTTGTGCTCTTACTTGCAGTAATATGTATGTCCTAGAAATTGCCATATTTTGACTTTTCATACCAGTGGATGCAGAACGAGGTTTCTCAGGACCTGAACTGGAGTGAGCAACATCTTGCTGATAGTACCTGGACTGGGCAGGCAGATCCTGTGGGAAAACAGAGGTTCCTGAAATTTAGTTCTCGTTGAAGGAATCAGAGTTTCAATTGGAGAATTTTCAATGTACCTCCCTATAACCTACTCAGGGTCTACTGGTTTGGGGGTTTGTTTTGGGGTAGAAAGTAATGAGTTTGTCACTGTGATAAATTCATTCTCACAAAGAAATAGATATATTCAAAGAAATGTGCTGGGGGAAAGGTGTCAGGTGAGAGGTCCCAGCCCAGTGTGGAACTGGGTGGGTTTTGTGGTTTGATTCTGCTGTCAGCATCGCAGGCAGGAGCTGGGGGAGTGTTGACAGCATCTGTGCTGTTGCCTGGCCTGGGAAGCTGCCACAGAAGCTGTTCTCAATGCAGCCATCCCTTTGTGCAGGACTGGATCACACTGGATATAGACTCTCAGACTCCTGAAAGTCTGGTGCTTTAAAGTTGGATCTTGCAATCACTTCCTTCTTGGCAGTAAGGTCCAGCTTTCAGGGCTGAAAATGGAGCTGGAAGCCTCCATATCTTGGGCAAATGTTCCTGTTCCTTTGAACCTCATGTTACAGCACCATTTTCAGAGAAGTGCAGAAGGGAACCTGGGAGAAAAAATATAATTTAAAGTCTTTCTACAGTTACACTTCAAAAAAGATGGGCTTTGCTTAAAAGAAACCCCAAAACATATTTATGAGACCCAACCAGTTTTGTACACTTGTGTACATACACACACACATGCAGAGTTGCTGTAGCAGTATATCTAATATGTATGTTCTGTATATAAACAGAAAATTATATAGCTACCAGAAGGTTTTGGAGTTGTATATTGTTTTTCAAATTTCTGTATCATTTCCACATAGAACTAGAAAAATATAAACCTATCAGAAAGTAAGCAGCTCCAGTTTTCTTTGTGTTAGGAATTATTTTATAGATCTTGCTTTGCCTTTAGCTGCAAAGCCTGAAATTTAAATTGCTGCAGGCTTCCTTGATTTCCATGGTTGAAATAAATGCTCTGTATCATTTTGCTATTCATGTCATTACTCCCCGTAATCACCACACTCATCCCAGCACACTGTGTAGTGTGCTCAGTTGAATATCTCTGACTTTCAGGAGGCTTCCTGGCTGGCTGTTGTTTGTTTCTGAGGCTGCACAATGACATACTCTATTGGGCTAATTTGATAGTTTGCATTCCAGTTGCTGTGAGTTACGACTTGTGTTTTCTGTTTGCCATGTAAATGAAGAATTGAAATTTACAGGCAATCATTTGCTGCTGTGGTCTCTTCACCTGAATTTACAGATTGTGATTAATGGTCCAAATTTGGTGAAAGTTCAGAACTTTCATCCTTTTCCCCTCCCTCCCCACCTCTATAAAAGTTAATTGCTGCTGCTGCTGCATATTCAGCAGGGAGCTGGGATGGAAATGCAAGAGAGTTAATTTCCTGCTGAATATGGGAGCACATCACTGCTTGGACTGTCTTCCTGAGATCAGATTCATGCACTCAAGCGTTCATGTCCTTGCATTCATGGGGTGCCCGGTTAATTTCCCGTGTGTGTGGCTGGAGCTGCTCCTCCTGAGCAGGGGGGGCAAACAGCAGAGCAGGGCTGGGAGCCAGCACAGGCTGAGCAGCGGGCTCAGTGCTGCCTAAAGTACACTCAGGATTGTGAAACTGGACACCAGGTGTACTGGTGAGAGAAAACAATCTGACCCCAAACGCTTCTGAACATCCGCCAGGTTTGTACTGTGGTTTGAAAAAAGTTCCAGCCCACCAACCCCTTGACTCCTGCATTGCCACGACAGCCTCAGACTGTGGCACAGGTAGCAGAAGCTCAGCAAGGTGAGGTGTTCAGAGGTCCGTAGATCTGCAAATTAAATTGATATAATGACAGGGGAGTGTCCCTCTTTGTGCTCCTGCAATAGACAGAAGGCAGAAGGCACTGCAGATGATTCCCTGTGCTCCATGCTGGACAAAGGTTGATAAGGAGAGAATGTATTTTTTAGTATATTAACTTTCTGTGGCTGTGACTTACTTCACAAACAAGGTCTCAAAAGTCCCTTTATTTCGATAGGAACCCTTGGGAAGTAGAATGTTTCTCAGTGTGATGAGAAGTCTTGTGTGGCTTTTGCAGTTGTTCATATTGTGAGAGTTTGGGCAATCAGTCTGTTCCCCATGTCAGAAGAATTCAGCACCTGCAAACCAGGTTTGAACTAATAGTAAAGCCTTTCATACCCAACAGAAATTATATTTTATTTCAAAACTGTACTGGTATGACCTGCCCTTCTGGAAGGGATGGGAGGGAAAGAAAACCTTATGTGGATGTTGTTTGCTTGTTTGAAATGATTTTTACAGTAATCACTGAGAACTGACATCTTAGGAATGTCCTGACCAGAGGCTGGCTGACTAATTACTGTTTCTATTGCAATCCTGAGATCCACATTGTGAGCGATGAGAGAAGTAAAAACAAAAGCAAATATGACACTTGGATCCTGTTTGTTTTCTAGTAGATGAGACAAATGACTTTGTGCTCTGCTTGCCATAATCAAACAAATGGATTTAAAAAGACATATGTGGGTAGATACACACACACACACATACATATCCATACTTGGGTTTATAGGTTTAACCCAGAGAGGTAGGGGGGTCTTTATCACAGAAGCCAATTTTAAATAATTATATTTAAAGAGTAACACAGGGGAAGTCATGCACAGCCACGGAGCAGAAAGGCTCAGTGTGTATTGTAGCTCTGTAATAGCTATTATTTATCACAAATGTGCCGTCTGTTTGTTCACACAGAGTAATGAATGACCTTTCTGTTTCCACAGCTAGACCTGTGTAGACTTCAGCTGGTGGGGGTGTAGTGCAGGAGCTATTTATCATGCTTCACTTATACTGATCACTGGTTTAAGCTGTAACACCAGGGAAACGTGTTGGACTAAAGTTATGGTTCAAAAAAGTAGCTTTTATGGGGTTAACAGCTAAGAAAAGCAGCTACTTTGTGTCTCTGACTGCTATAATTCAAAATTGACTTTGCTGGAATTTGAATCAAATCACTGCCAATATTGTCATAAGCAAATTTATCAGCCAAGGACTTGTTTACTGTGTCTTAGCAATGCAGGGCCTGATTTTATATTTTTTTGTGTGTGATTCCTTTGTAAAGCTTTAGTTTCTTACATTGATAAATGGGATAGAATACATGAATGAGAAGAAGGTAACTCAGGAGAGCTAATGCCTATACATTTTAGCACAGAAAAGGTATATGAGGAAGTTACATTTTTAGCTCCTCATACTGTTCAGAGATTAATAATGTAAAGAACAGAAAAGACTGTGTTTGGGAGGGCAGGAGAGGGGCTAAGATGGGCTGGGTGAGTGAAGTGACTGAACCTTCTTAGGAACAATCAAGGTCTCCTGTTTTCTTTGCAGATTGTCCCAATTAGTTATATTTTACTGGTGCAATCCTTGGATGTCAGAAGTTAGTCTTTTCCCATGTGGCATGTTAAAAAGCAAAATGCATTATTAATGCTTGAGGTGGGACCTCTGCAGCTGTGGTATAAAGCGTTAAATGACATTAATTTAGACAATAATACTATCATCACACTGCTTTACAAGCCAATAACCCAGCTCTTGTTCCCCCTTGTAGTTTGTCTCAAGGAGGGAAGTGGATTATTGCCTTATAAAACAGGTACAATGGTGTTCTGCTGCTATTACTGCAAATGTTTCAGGAATGCTGAACAAAAGTGGAGAGAGATGGAACATGCAGCACTCACCCTGTGATGGGAGCTGAAGAATGCAGAATACATTCACATGTGTAAAGCCATGGTTGGGAATATCTTCCCCAGGGTGGGACCATGGCCCAGGAGTCCCTCACACTCTTTGAACACAGACCTTTGGATGGCAGAGAGACACAGAGAATTTTGGCCTCGAGGCCAGGCTTGAAGGAGCAGTATCATGCTTGGTCTGGGCAGAATCTCTGCATGGTTGGAGCAGATATTAACTTTATACTACTTGCCTATTAGCAAAGCTCTATCGCCCAGTTTGTTCCTGATCAGCTTTTGTTATTCTAAATAACATTTACAGCCATGATCCAGCAAATTCCAGACTCTGCAGGGTGTTTCTGAAGGACATTATGAGGCTGAAACCAGCAAATTCAGCTCTGGAGGTGACGCAGGGAGCCTTGGTTTTGGAGATGCCAAGGAAAGCTGGGTGGGCTCTTACCCCTGGACCTTGCTCTGGGGTTTGGAGAGCTGGGTAGGGGCTGCTGTAGCTCCTGCTGCTGGAGGGAGGACGTGCATGGTAAATTCTCCAGAGGAAGGAATTCACTTTTCAAGGTACAAACCACTTCTCTGTTGTCTGGCAGATGAGCACTATGTGGTTTGGCACAAAATACCTTGCAGCAGTGCTTTTCACATGTGAAATTAATGGTCTCTCTTCCCATTTGATCTTGAACTCCTTTTCAGTAAAAAGGTTTTCAATAAAAACCTTTACAGTATTCAGTAAGATAAGTGGTAAGGCAGCAGCATTCGATTATTTAACCTTCCCTGTTATTTGGAACATGGTCATGTCCCCTGACATTGGTTAATTACTCTGAAAATTACCTCGGTTATCCAAAACCTCAACTCTCCACACATCCTGTGTCTCTGTGACATTCACATACCCAAGGTTGTTCTGTATTAGCATAAATATCTGACCAGCTCCCAAAAACTAAACAGAGAGATTTTGGCTCTCATCACATTTATGTGTATTTCTGCCAATCTCAACATGTCTGCTGCTTTATATTCATCCATTTAAAATGGTGATTTTTGTACTATGCTTAGAGCTACCCTGTGCTACATATTGCAGAAAATCATACTATTACTATGTCGCCAGCTGAATTTTGGTCCCGTCTACCAGTTGAACCCTCTTTAATTCATTTGTCAAAAAAAAACCCTGATTATTTTCCATTTCCAGTATTTAGCATTAAATTGTATTACTTCTAATACTGCAGAAATGTCCAGGAAAGCTAGATAAGAAAGAGAAACTTTAAATTATTTGTTTTTTGGGGTGTATTTTAAATGTTCATCTTATTTTTCCTTTGAGTAACTGTTACTTGAAAGTAATTTTTGTCTTGTTTTTCGGTAAAAGCATTGGGCAATGTTACTAGTCTCTATTTTCAACATTGCATTGCTGTGTTTGTGTTTTCAAAACCACTGCAAAGCAGTTCAATGACATTTTGAACTGATGTCTAGGAAGTGTTTCTCATATTACACCACTCCATTTAATTGTGAGTCAAAAGAAACAGGGAATTAAGAAGAAACAGGAATATATTGGTATTACTAGGTTTTGTCTCGGAAATGTTCTGCATGTTGCAGTTTTTCCAAAACATTACTCAGGGTATGTGATGTGGTTTGCATGAAGCAAAATATTCTACATGTTTTTAGATCCCATCAGAAATTACTCAGGAGAATGTAACATGCAAGATTTGTGGGAGAACATAAAGCATTATATTGATGGATTTGAGGGTGTGGGAGGATGGAGAGGTAATTTGGAGGGATAAAGATGAAAAATTTATTTTCAAACCTCAGTATGATTGGAATAAGGGCTTTATTTCTTTCCCCATAAGTAATTGTAACAGGAAAAATACTTATTTTCCAGGAGGGAGCCATGCTGCTGGTGGTTTGGCTTATTGGAATGTTTGGGGTTTAGTGATTCTGCTGCCTGTTCACACCCAAACCACTTAGTGCTAAAGGTGCCTCTTATTGTGAAGGTCACACCCTACGTGTGCAATTATACTTTGAATAATGTATCTTGATTGTTAAATACATCTTGATTGTTATTTTTCTCCTACTGGCATAAATAATGAACTGGTAATATATAAATTTGTTGACTTAACAGCAGTTAATAAGTGTTTTATGTGGATGAATTGGGCTGTCCTACAAGTAATGTTTAAATATGTAAGTGGGTTTGTTTCAAAGGAATTAAAGAACATGGGGCTGCCACATTACTGCTTGGTTTTGTTGGGTTTTTTTCCTCTTTGTAATATCTTAGTAAATACACTGAATTCTTTGGAAAGACATGTACATTACAAGCAGGGCAAGCACCTCAGTAGATTTAGAACTGTATTTTCACATTCTTGATCATAGTTATTTTTAAAATAGTTTGAAATCAAGGGAACTTTTAAATAAGGAAATGAAGTTATATTCATGTTGTATAATTTAGGAGGCAGGGTGGTGTTACCACCCTTGTCAGAATACAGAGAATACATGTACCACTGGATCTTGTCCTCAGAAGGTTGTCCCCTGCTCCCTGCCACATCCTTCTCTCACAGCCGGGTGGTGGAGTGGAAGTTTTGGAGCGATTGCAGAGGGTGGAAAGCACATCTCCCTCTGCTCTGGCTTGTGGACTATTGCCCAGATATTCCCTAGAAGTGGAGATGGCAGCTGAAGGCATGGCAGCCCCTCCTGCTCTCTTGGAGGCTGCAGAGCTGTCCCAGGGCTGGTCCTTCCTTGGCTGCTCCGTGCTGTGCAGGCTCTGGCTGGCAGCAGCAGCTCATGTTTGTGCTCACAAGCCAAGGCACGAACAGAGCACTGGGCTTCTGGCTCAGCTGGCCATTTCCTCCTGCATCAAGCTGAGGGACAGTGCAGTAACATCCCAAGCCTTGCAGAAGGACAGCCCAGCTCTGAACGTGGTACTCTGGTGGTTGGGAGTGAGGATGTTCATCCTCTGCCTGCAGATCAAAGAGCTTCCTCTTCCTCCTCCTCCTCGCTCCTCCCTGAGCTGAGCTCCAGTTCAGTTATTCCTTACTGAACAATAGGCAGTGAACATTAAACATGCCGTGTTTTTGCTGCTCCCACTTGGTCTATACAGTGAAATGAGAGAAGGTGGTGGGGATGGTTAGTTATTTCACAGAGCCAGGAGAACAGATGAGGAACAAAGTCAATTCCTGCTGTGGTTCTCTGTGGGAAATATCAGTTATAAGCAGCTTAGTCTTGTCCTAAGCACCATTGAATGGGATCTGTTACCACAGCAGAACCAGAAAGGATTCCATTACTGAAAGCAAAGGGAAAAAAAAAAAGTACCTTTGTTGTATCTGACAGCAATGCAATGAAGTCACTGTGTAAGAAATCAAATAACAAAAAAATCATAGTTTCTACCACCTAGTAAAAACACCATGGAAAAAGGTAGTCTCCTAAGATAAGTCATATATTATGTTTTGGTTTTCTACTTTTCTCTAAATCAATTACAATTTAAAAAATTCTTTCTCTTTCTGAGTAGGTGGTATCTAT